TGTCCACATAGCCATTCAGCCTCATTGTCCTGTAATCTGAAAACCCATTCATAGCATGGAATGAGATCAAGGGTTCTTCTTCTTTCATAATGAGTTCCTTATTGCTGTCTTGCACAACTTCTCCTTCAGATTCCTCCACATCCTTTGTTTCTCCCATGATTTCTACTAAAAACAACTGTGTACCCTTGTGATTACATACATGCTCCTTACTGTATGGTTGATCACAATAATAGCATAACCCCTTTGCTCTTTTCTCAGCTCTTTCACCCACTGATACAAACTTCCTGGGTGCAGGCAAATTAATAGCTCTTGGTACATTCACAATTGTTTTAGGAACCTGAGTTGGTGTAGGCAGTAGTGGTTTATTCGAAGTTGCTTTTGGAACATTACCATATTTGGCTTGTGTGGTAATGGCTTCTACAGTGTCATCCTGAAATCGTGCAAACCCTATAGCTTCTGCTATACTCTGGGGTTTAAAAGCTTTCACAAATGATTTTATTGTTGGTTTCAACGCAGCCAGAAAACAGTCTAGGAAGTAATCAGAAGGCAATTTTGGATTTCTCTGTAGCATAGCGGCTTTAAGAGTTTCAAACTCATCAATAAAGTTTTCCAATGATCCTGTTTGTTTCAAGTTATTAAACCTTTCAACAACCTTGTTACTCAAACTATCAGAAAACCTTGCATTAATATCAAGCACAAACTGTCTCCATTTAAGCCTCTTTCTACCCCCTACATAATGTCCAAACCAACTTGCTGCCCTTCCGTCAAGGTAAAGAGAAGCTAGATTGACTTTCTGATGATCAGGAATATTGCAAAGGGAAAAATACCTTTCACACTTCTGAATCCATATCTTGACATTTCCCCCCTTCAAATACAGGAAACTCCACTTTAGGGCTAAATCGGAAAGCATTCTGGTTTGTGACAGGAGGTTTGCCATCCGCACCATCAATTTCTCCTTCAGAAGAGTCTTCCTCTATATCTTTCGTGTAATGATCTTCACCATTCTCCTCTTCGTCTAAGTGGATTTTGTTTTTCTGCATATCCACTACCTTTTTCATGATTTTGCCCATCATGTCCATCATAAGTTTGTTTTGGCTTTCCAACTTCTGATCAAACTCTTGCTGAATAATTTTCAAAGCTTCGTCCATGTCTGAGTTGGAATTCCTTGTCTGCACCATCACGCTTCGTCACTGCTGCACTTTCTCCTTAACAATTTTCACCACACGGATCGTGAGGTCTCTGATACCAATGTTACAAGTCAGGTTATCTATGAAGAAACACAGAAAGAGATAACGAGATCTTGTGTTCAAACTTACAGATTGAGAGTAATAGAGGGAAGAGGAAGAAGATGATCTTATTATTCATGGCATAAAAGCTTCAGAAGTATACAACCGAGTATATATGTAACTCATATTACAGTTAAAAGCTGGCCAACTCTAACAAACTTCTAACTAATCTTCATACACGTCAACAGCTTATTGTTACTAATTACAATGTATGAAAATATGCTGACACCCTTAGCTGAGCTGGCATTTCCTCATCTGACTGCATCAGATTATTATCAAAATATCCATATTTCCAATTATTTATATCGTTCTTGCATGTACATCCCAATCATTATACATTTTTTTTATTAATTAGATTTAGCTGGCCATGGATCGCTTAAAGAATTTCTAAAAAGGATTTCATATTGTTTTTATACAAAATGCAAGGTGTACACTTTTGTATTGTATGCACATTTGACACACCATAAATAAGAGTTCATTTTGTTTTACCCCTCCCTCTCTCCCCTCTCTCCCTCTCCTTTATCCATACCAAAATTCTTTCGTTCTTTCTTTCATTATTTTTCATCTCTTCTTATCTTTCTTTTCCCCTTCTTTTCACAGTACTCCATCTTCACCATTATCTTCTATTCTCATCTTCTAGGACCGGAAAAATAAATGAAATTTGAGTTTTCGCAAAGTCACCGATAAAAGTCGGGGTTAGAGTACATGGAAACTAATGTATGTATACAAATAGTTAAATACTACTCTTACACTTCCTCCGTCCCAATACATCTCACTTTTTTTTCGGGCAGTCCTGAAATTAACTTCACACTTCAAAATTTTCCTTATTTGGCAAATAATCTACATAAAAAAAGTGCCAAACAGTGTTCAAACAGTGTCAAACAGTATTTAAACAGTGCAAAAAGCGCACTCCACAGTAAAGTCAAATTTATTTTCTTAATCTGTGTGAAGTCAAACTGTGAACTTTATTTTCTTATTTAGTCTCAAATAAATGTACCTAGACACTATTTTTTTCAGTTAACACGACTTTCTTTTAATCTATGTTGTTCAAACTAGATCAGAAAGCGACCCATTCAAAACTTCAAATGACTGGGTAATAGGTCGACGCCTTCAAAACTTCAAAACTTCAAACTATTCCAGGTCAACTCAAACCTGGAAGGTCAATTCGGTCGACGCCGAAAAAATTGGTCAATGTTGACCAAAATAAAAACGTAAATTTACATGACTGAGGGAGTACAAATATATCATTGTGTATGATGAGTCAATGCATCCGAACTCTAGAGAGGTGTGATTACGGGGGCAGTTTTGGGGGTTGGAATCCAGGCCCCATGTTTTGTGAGTAAGTTTATGTGTAAAAGTTACTTCTTCCGTCCTTTTTCATTTGTGCTATTTTCTTTTTTAGCTTGTCCCAGAATAAGTGTCTTCTTTCCTTTTTCGGAAAGAATATGTGGTCTACCCAATTTCAATTTATCATATTCAAACTTCAACCATAACTTTTATTTTTTCAACTACTTCATTAATAATCGTGTCAAGTCAAACTAAGACACATAAAATGGGACGGAGCTAGATATTATTTACTCCGTACAAAATAAAAATTCTTTATAGCCACACACTTAAAGATCCACAATACAATACTCCGTACAATTTATTCATAGGAGACCCCATCGATGATAGGCCTATTCGACACCACTCACACCATGGGCTGAAAAGACACCACTCACTTTATGGGCTGAAAATATACACTAATTGTATAAGCCCAATCTACACAATTTTGGCTAACCGATGCCGGCCCATCTATGTATATTTCACACGCCTATTTGCAGGATTAGAGTTGTATGGGAAGTGACGGTCAAGCGGTCAAGCCCATTTATATTCTAGAACACATTATGCGGTGGTAATAATTTTTCGAAGAAAATGAAATAAAAACCTGATGGTCATACGAAATTATAATAAAGCACGAAAAATTGCATTTATGTTATGTGTTTGATAAGACATAATTTGACTTAGCATCTCATTCTCGGGCTGGCGATATTTGAAGTTGCACCACATTTTTAATATGATTAATGCACGCAATTAACGAACCCAAAAATTGTGAATGGGTGAGTGAAAAGTCAAATGATTCTATAATAAATTAGAATGCACACATTAATTAATGATCTTGAAAATATGTTGCAAAATCAAATTTTCCTTTTTCTTAATCTAAAGTTTCGGTCACTGTTTTAACTAAAAACTAGAAATTAACTAATACTAATTTATATGATTGAATTGGGAATCTTGGAAAGTATGAATCGATAATGATTTTACTAAGAGCAATTGAGATATACGGAGTAATACGAAAAGAATTTAGTAGCTCGAATAGAAGTACAATAGTGCTTGATCGTGTATCTCTCCTCCTTTTCCAGAATGATAACTATCTACTTGGTAATTCTGTAAAGTCTTACATATATTATACTATCGTATTTAATTGAATTGATAAAAAAAGGATGACACCCCATCCCTGAGGGCCCCTAACACTGACCGGACAGCATGATGGGAGGATGTAAGTTGGACTATAATCACAACTTGATAGATAGAGAGTGGGGCTCCGTCCCCAGTACTTGCAGAGGCCCTATGCATTTTTCAGCATATTATCGCAGTTGTCGGGGTTCGAACCCGAAACCTAACCCTTGTGGCACTCCCTCGCTACCAGTTGAGCTACGCCCACCGGTTTTTAATTGAATTGATAACTTGTTGAAATAGTTGACTTATTGGGAAAATGTCATTTAGAAAATTAGAAGTTAAAAATAAAAAATATACTAGTACGTACTACTCCGTATGTTATTTTAGATAGATAAATATACGTAAATACTAAATAATACTCCGTATGTTATTTTAGATAGTTAAATAAAATGTACTAATTACAAATAATATAATACTATCCTCCGTTCTATAATTCTTATAACAGTTTGACTTTCACGTTTGCCAATGCACAACTTTAATTGTAATTATATTTAATTATGTATTAGTAAACATTATAAAAAGTTGATATTTTAGAAATTCACATTGATAAAAGTTCAATAACATTTTATACGTAATAATTTGATTATGTATACTAGTAGAAAATCATGGTCAAAATAAGATATGTGAATAGTGTAAAAATCACAATGTTGCAAGAATTATAGAACGGAGGAAGTACGTTGTATCTAAAAACCTAATCTTAAGTTCTTAACTTCACTTTTTTCCCATATTTAATTAAGTGATATTTGCTTATCTATCCTTCATCAACACCATGTAGCTCTAATGGTTATGTCTCTGATAGCTTCTTAATGTGCCCCCGTCAATACCTTGGAATGTTGATTTGAATAATAATGCTTCTCCATGTGTTCCATCAATACCTACACTTAATTAGGGAAAAGGTGCAAATAGGTCCATGTACTAACCAAAAAAGGTCAAATAAGCCCTTATTTAGGAGTCTCTTTCCGGCCGTCGCCATTTGGAGTGGTTCCCGGTGTAATTTTTTGATGAAATTTTTTAAGCATCTTATTCATTAAGTCTAGTTTACTCATACCAAATTTCAGCTAAAACTTCAATCGGGAAGGCATTCAAATAAATTCTTGAAGGTAACTGCGCTTCTAACTGCGCAGTTATTTTCAAGAATTCATTTGAATGCCTTCCCGATTGAAGTTTTAGCTGAAATTTGGTATGAGTAAACTAGACTTAATGAATAAGATGCTTAAAAAATTTCATCAAAAAATTCCACCGGGAACTACCTCAAATGACGACGGCCGGACAGAACTTCCTAAATAAGGGCTTATTTGACCTTTTTTGGTTAGTACAAGGGCCTATTTGCACCTTTTCCCCACTTAATTATATACTCCGTACTTCGTAAATTTACGTTTTTATTTTGGTCAACATTGACCAATTTTTTCGGCGTCGACCGGATTGACCTTCCAGGTTTGAGTTGACCTGGAATAGTTTAAAGTTTTGAAGGCGTCGACCTATTACCCAGTCATTTGAAGTTTTGAATGGGTCACTTTCTGATCTAGTTTGAACAACATAGATTAAAAGAAAGTCGTGTTAACTGAAAAAAATTGTTTCTAGGTACATTTATTTGAGACTAAGAGTGCAACATGTCGACATAAGTTATATAATGAATTGAATGCCTATATTCATAAGTTATATTCCGTATTTGAAAAATCAAACAAAAAGTAAAAATAATACACCCTCCGTTCTTTAATAATTGCCTTTTATTCCATTTTGGGGCACTTTTTATCAGTTGTCTCTTTTTTCTTTTTTTGATAAGTTTTTTCAATCAAAATACATTTATACTCCACTTTTATTACTCTTACCCCTTTCATTTAAAGACAAAACGATTACTACACATTTTACTCATAAAATATAGAAATAGAAATTAAAATCATACGGAGGATCATATCATCTACATTCATGAAGACAGGATAGAATTACTGAACCATCAATTCCGTAGTTTCCCGCATAGGGGTTGACCATTACAATTGCACGGCCAACACCATGAGACAAAATCTTACCAGCAATACAATTACTCCGTACAAATTTACAATGAGCATGTAAGATAACTAAGATTAATGAGCATATGGTAGATTTTTCTCGCTAATAACATTAATGAGAATGTAACTAATAAGGGAAGGATATGGTAGATTTTTCTCGCTAATAACATTAATGAGAATGTAACTAATAAGGGAAGGATATGGTAGATTTTTCTCGCTAATAAAATTAATGAGCACGTAACTAAGAGCATCTCCAATGCTATAATGTCCACGGTGCACATGTGGTATGAGTGATAGCCACATAAATATTAACAAATAAATTATTTCTCTCCTTATTTGAATGATTTTTTACAATTTTGGTAAGTTTTTCCCTGCAATGTCAACAACAATGTCAATATCTAGACGGTCTCCTTGACAGTGTGGAGAAAAACTTACCAAAATTGTATAAAATCATTCAAATAAGGAGAGAAAGAATTTATTTACTAATATTTATGTGGCTATTTTTCATGCCACGTGTGCACCGTGCACATTTTACCATTGGAGATGCTCTAATGCGCATGTTAGTTCATGTTTGAATTTCTTTTTGGAGACCTTATAAATCTTTTAATGTAGTTTCTGAATATTTAAATATATTTACTGAAAACAATCTTATAATTGAGAGCGATCCATTAATTTTATGACCAGCCAAACACAGAAATGAGAACTTTATTGTGGGATGGATGGAATAATTCTTTTACGGAGTATATTAATTTAATGTACTTATTTAACATATGTGCTTAATATGTTAACCTTATTACTCCACATGTTCACTAATAAGCATACTCATTAAAATTATTGTTCCTTAACCGCAATCCCCAAGTATTTCATTATCCTATATATCGTACTGTATATAATATGATACATAAATTCCTAGCTCATTTACATATTTACAGAACACAGGAACCGTTTTAAATAGATGAGCCTAACAACTTATAGGGCTCGTTTGGTAGTTTACACGTTAAATCTATGCACGCGAAGTGATTGCATGCAAAGTAGAGAGAAACAATCATTTTGCATGTAAAATAGATTACATTGTTTGGTTAGATGTGTACTTTATTTTTAAATTGCACGCAAAGTCGTCACAGTGCTTCATAAAAGGCATGCAAAGTATTTTACCACCCTCCCCCACGTAAAATACTTTACATGGTACAATGCGAAATGTTTTAAAAAAATGTCCTACAATTTACATTAAATAATCAAACCAAACAGTGTAAACATTTTACATCCTTACACTTCGCCTGCAAAGTAATTACTTTACATCCTACCAAACGCCCCCATAATGTCTGGCGCAACAGAGCAGCAGCATCAATGGTAGAAAATAAGAAATATGAAGGGAAAGAAAAAAAGATCTAAACCTTAGCTTAACCAATCTAGTGGTGATAAATGCATATGTAGAATCTCATACCACTCCAGCATCTGTCTACTTCAAAAAATACATGGCTACTGATACTGCTGCAACAGATTTTAAGACAAGGCCGCCTCCGTCGATAAAGCCGCTAGCTGTAAAATACAAGATTGATTATAACTCAAATAACTCTCTACAGGTCACTTGTAAATCAATGATCAAGAGGATTGCATATTTATAATTAACACGAGATGATTGATATCCTCCAGAGGGATGGGCAATATTAATACTTGGGGTCACACATAAAATATTAAAATATAAACTTCACATAAAAAGTAGTCCATATTCCATATACTAAATGAAGAGTTTGGAGGAAATTAATTATCACATGTCCATATGTATGACTAAAAGATGGTTTCTTTATGAAGATCGAAGTAAGACCCAGTTTTCCTACTTTGATCAAGTGTTGGCCTAATTTTATGTTGTGGTGGCATCTTTTATTTGTAATTAATGGATTGCAAGATGTTTATAGCTAAATTGTCATATATCAGGAAAGTGTATCTTTTAGCAAACCAACATTATTAAATAGAAAATTATGGTTTGAGGGTAAAAATCCATTTACTTGGTCTAACATCTTCAGCTAAATATTAAATATAAATTACTTCAAATAGGACTAAAATTATGGCAAAAACTCAAAATAGGACTTGCTATGTTTTTTTTCCAAAATAGGACCATAGTGGTCCTATTGGAAACATACTCATTTCTTCCTTCCATTCTTACCCCTCCTTTAAATATTAGTAAAAGATAGCTAAAAGTCATAATTAAATGTTTAATTCATAATAAATTCGAAAAAATTTCAATAATTCGTAGAAAAATAATAAAAAAATTAATAAATTTTTATAAAATAAAAAATAAGAATTTTTTTTTTAATTTTTTTTTTAATTTTTTTTTTTGAAAATTAATAAAAAAAATAGTAAAACTCCATAAAAAAAATTATAAAAAATATGGATACCTTTCCCACCGCCTGTAGTACCTCCCTGAACCACCACCTCCGATCGGTGTAAAAAATGCCACTTTTTTTTTTAAATTCCACAAAAATGGCATATTTCTCTATGAGAATGCCAACATTTTCATTCTGTCAACTTGAATCCTTTTGACTTTTGCCAAAAATATGGCATTCATAATTTTTTTGGAATTTTTTTACCCCGGTGACAGGAGGTGGTGGTACCGCCTCCCTGCACCACCACCTCCGACCGTTAAAAAAAATGTCATATTTCCTACAAACTTCCATTTTTTTTGGAAAATGCCAAAAATATGGCATATTTCTCTTTGAGAATGCCAACATTTTTTTTCTTCCATTTTAAATCATTCTGAATTATGCCAAAAATATGAAATTCATAATAAATTTGGCATTTTTTTCCCAAATGACTAGAGGTGGTGGTGCTGGGGCGGTATAGGCGGCGGTGACAAAAAAATATTTTTTTGATTTTTTTTTAATTTTTTTAAATTTTTTTTATTTTTTATTTTTTTTAATTTTTTTTTTTTAAATTTATTATTATTCAAAATATTTTTATTAATTTTTTGGTATATTTTACGAATTTTCATTATTTTTTATTATTTTATTATGAATTAAAACATTCCAATAGGTATAAGAGTATATTTGTCCAAGACAAACATAATTAGTCCTATGGAAACATAGTTTATTTTTTGGTCCTATTTGTGCAAAGTGAATGACTTTTAGTCCTATTTTGATAATTAACTCAATATTAAATAGCAAACGGATACTAATATTGCAGTCATTGACCTTTAAGAATAAAGCTCAGTTCTTCATAAGTATGCTGATGACATTTTACCCTAAGTAAGCCAATCTTTCAAACCCAGTGACCAAAAGAACATCTTTCATTACTTACAAATGAATCATAGAAGTAAATGAATAAATACTCTCTCCGTCCCTCAAAAGTAGGCTATCTTTGTAGTAATCTATTTTTGTCAAAGTTATAAACTTCATGCTTTTATGAGACTAGCATTAACAAACAACATTTTCATATTGTTTTCATATTATAAATAATTTTGTACAAATATATGATTCATCAAAGTTAAACACCATTGACCACATAGTCAAACATGACCAAGTAAAAAGGAAAACCTCACCTTTGTTGCTATTGTTATGAGTTAGGCTGGGTGTTGCAGTTGGAGGACTAGATGATTTATTTGTCATGTTACAATCCAATCCCAGTGCGCCTGAATGCGCACCATAAAGCAGTCATTAAAGTTTATTTGAATGAGAGAATAGCAGAAAGGTCAGTTTTAAAGCCTATTTAGTATCTACTGTTTCTCATCCATAAAAGGATTTGAGCTAGAGTATTAAACCAATATGTAAAACTCTATCTACTACTAGTCCTAAACTTATCTTTTAGCATGAAACCCCAAACCATAATATGATTTCGCCCATTTATGAAAAAGCATTATGAACATATTTTCACGTAGACAGAAGGAGCCTTACATTCTTTGAAGCAAGGGAAACCTGTGATATTGAGAAGGTTTGAGTAACCCTTGCTGCATTCACAAGTGTAGGTTAGTGCAGAAGTCTGCATGCATGATCCCCCACCGCACTCGGCCCAATAGCAAGCTAGAAAATACCAAAGGTCCACACCGCACAAATTTGAAGAGAACAACTAAAAAAGAACTTTCATAATTTTACGAATTATGTAACATTAGCATAAAAGGGGGAAATTGTAGTTACGCTCGAAGAAAGATGTACGATTGGCTCTTTTATCTGGTGCAGCAGGGGCAGGAGCATCTTCCCCGCACGAAAAGTTTATAGAACCTAAAAGAAATGAAATCCCACAATACTGCGTAATGAAAAACATTGACCTTTAATAAGAGGAAGAAAAACTAGCAATACTTTCACTGAGAAGTCACGGGTTCATTTGGTTTATGTTTCGAAATTATCTGCTTTTGTTCTCAAATATATATAATAAAAATGCTTTGCAGTTTGTTTTAAATTAATGATTAATTATGAGAATATATATGTTGTTGTATGATAATACATATTTTTAAATAAAATTTCTAAACGTTTCATAAAATTGTTCAAAAGATGATCCCAACACTTCTTAAAATTCTGCTTTTTAAGTTATGCTTTTATTATCTGAACTTTTTAAGTTAAACTACTGTTGCACATTTTATATCTCATCTTTATAAAAAACTTACAACTGAAAAGAGAACCAAACTTAGTACTGAAGTTAAACTGTTTCACATTTTATATCTCATCTTTATACATATGAGTCTAAAGTAAATATGACAGAAAGCAAAGACAAGTCCAGGGGCGGAGAATGGGAGGGGTTAGAGGGGGCCTCTCCAAGAAAAAATTCTAATGTAATATATATGTATAAACATTTTTAATCTATTAAGAGTATGTTGATGTTTTACACTCCCCCCCTGCAGTGTAAAATCTTCAAGCCCAACCCCCCTAACAATACATTTCTGGCTCCGGCCCTGCCAGTCCTTATGGCCTAAAAGTGTGATCTGATTTGGATTTTTAAGATCCAGAATGGTCTGATGTAACAGGTGTAAATGTTTCTGAATGGTATATTTTAAATCTTTCGGGTTGGGTATGAATCTTTCTGGTGTGGCTCGGTCTGATCAGAATGTTTCTGAATATGACAACTTTTTTTAATCTAATATGGTCTGGATGTTTCTGGTCTTGTGTGATCTGGATTTAGTAAAATTAAGTAATAATCCATAAAAAAAGGTGAAAGAGAACACCACCTATGTGAACTTACAGTTGGGGATAACACATGGCAGAAACTTGAAGGAATTGTCACTTTGAAGAAGAGTTTGTTTCCAGCCAGGATCACATTCACATTCATAACCTAAAATACTATTTCCCGATGCCTTGCAATTCCCTTTTCCACATCCCACTTTTTTGCACAGCTTATCTATAAATGCATACATGACAGGCAAACAAACATAGATTGCAGTAAAAAAGAAAATATTCCATCCATGAATATGAACACCAAACTCAATATCTGATATTAAAAATAGACCCCAAGGCCCAAACCAAAAGTATGAATGCATGAGAATATAAAAAAGGCAAAACATGATACATCAAAATGCTCATAAAGATTGCTCGGACCGTGGGAACCTCTCAAAAGGCTTCATACTAATGGAGCGAGGTGGACACTTACATTCAAAGCAACTCTACTTATTTTTCTAATGTGGGACAACAAAGATTTGGTAACTCTATACAACCCAAAATCTACCACAGTAACTATTGTTTATCTTGTTTTGTTTATTCGTTCATGTATAGTAGGTATAAATATCATCCATCCTTTACATCTAATTCAAGAAAACTATGGCCAGTGATGTTGCTGCAATAACCTTCCAGAAAAATCCACCTCCCATGATGATTGAGCAAGCTGATTTTAATTGTAAGAACAAAATGTATCTAGTTAGTCCATTTGTATGACAATAGCAGTACACATTGAAAGAACAAATGAACAAATTAGTTCATTTCAACACAGCTGAACTTTACTGCATAATTAGAACTGTGAAATCTGATCAGCAATAGTGAAAGAATTCTCACCTTCATTACTATCAGATGAGCTTGGGGATGGAGGAGTGCTTGAGTTATTTGGCAAACCAAACCCCAGATTATTACAGTCCATTCCAAGTGCACCTAAATGTGTATGTCATTGACAGATCATAAACTGATTTTTTTTTGGAGGAGATCATAAACTGATATTATTCATAAACAAATAAAACTGGAATATTAGGGTCTGTTTGGTAAAGTGTCTAGATTTTGTGTTCTATATTTCCATTTTCAAAGTTTTTTTCCTGTTTTGTTTGTGAATTCCTTAAATATATACACATGTTTAATGGATACTTTCGAAACGATGAGATCATTTTTTATGTGTTCCGTCAATGATTTAAAAACACTGCTTTTGTTTTCAGAAAGAGAGACAAAACACTATTGGCAACCATATTTTCTTGTTTATGTTTTAATAGCAACAAATATATAACTAAAGCAAAATAATGGTCAAAATTTAATCTTTAATACGTAATGACGATAATGGTATTTTCGCAGTGACTATATCAATTCTGGTGATGTCCAATTCTACATGCAGCAACCGTGGTGGTATTTTCACACTGCCTGGAATGACTGTGTCGATGTTTTTTCCTATAATCTCTATCTTAGTAATGTTATAGGAAACAACCCACACATTTAAACCACAGAAAACATGAGTTATCAAACGACACCTTATTTTCATTCATAAAGGAATGTTGAGTGGTCTTACAAGCTCTGACGCACGGGAGAGCAGTGGAATTGAGCAGATTGAAGTATCCTTCATTGCATTCACAAGTATAGGTTAATGAAAGTGTAGAGTTTCTTTTGCACTTCCCCCCTCCACAGTCCGCCCAGTTGCAAGCTACACGACCCAATGTCACAAGTCACAACATTAAAGGGTATGTCTTATAAGCAAAAATGTTTCACAATTTTATAAATGCAGTACAAGATTAATGAAAAGTCATTTGTATTTACGATCAGAGATTGAACTAATTGAACGATCGGCTCTTTTAGCAGGTGCAGGAGCAGGTGCTTCTCCCTCTCCACAAGAGTAATTAACAGAACCTTAATAAAAAAGAAATCAATGGTCAGTAATTCAGTATAGAATGTACAATAAAACCATAGGTAGGGGAGCATAAAGAAAAAATTGACTAAAAGGAAAAAACGAGGGGAAACAAAATATTGATCTTATTTTCGATATTTGGTGGTATGCATTTTATTTCTTTCTCTGTTATACAAAGACATTCCTAAATGCATGTAAAATAATTAAAAACCAATTATATTCCGTCCTTTCCATTTTCAAAGTAAACCCAAACATCAGAACATAAACCATTTTTTCTTTCCTTAGCATTTTCCATGATAGGTATTACTGCACTTAAATTATCTCTACTTTAGTTTTTGATTTAATATATCAATTTTCTCATCAAATGAAAACTATTGGCAGTTTCATAAAATTTTATGTTGATTCTAAATATGTAGATTTTAATTGTTGATACTAATTAAACTATTGGTACTTGGGGATTACAGAAAATAGCATACTAATTAAACTTGAAGAAAGTGCCATTTAGAGATACTAATCAACCTATTGGGCAGAGATAGTAAACTTGTATGACACAAAATAGCACTTACAGTTGGGGATTACACAAGGCATAAACTTGAAGAAGGTATCATTTTGAGATCGAGTTTGTTTCCATCCAGCTGCACATTCACATTCATAACCTAAAACGCTATTTGTTGATTCCTTGCATTTCCCTTTTCCACACAGTCCTCCTTTGTCACACACATTATCTACCAGTTATGCACCCAACCACAAAAAATAAAACCATTATAGTTACTGATATACTCCAAAATTCAAATATCATCGAGTTCACTCAATTGTACACAACAGTCAAGTATAAAAAACACAACTCACATAGGCTGGACATCATTGGACTGTGCTTTGAAGAAATTGAGCTTTTAGAATAAAACTTAAGAAATTGGTCCAGCCTAAAACTCAAAACGAGCATACAGATTTACAAGATTAGTCTGCTCTAATGAATGGTAAACACTTAAACTATAATAGTCAAAATTACTATACACATCAACATTTTGACTACTAAAGTACAAAGACACAAACTTGAATTTAAAATAGTAGACTACTCCTTTTAAAGAATCATATGCTTAAAAAAGATTCCAATCCACTAGTGAGTCTAACGCAAGAATCATAAAAACAAACTTTTAAGACCAATAAACGCAGAAAAAGCAACAAAGATTCCACCTTTTCAAAAACTGCAAATCAAAATCCCCCAACTGGTAGGACTAGAACGGCTAAAATCAGTTCATTGAACAAATACAGCAGATGATGAATACCCAAACTCCAAAGTGAAGCAAATAAGAAAATGAAGAAGCAGAGAATTGAAGGGAAGTTACCAAAAATGGAGGACAAGAGAGGTGGAAGAGCAATATCGCTGGTGGCGGGCCATGGAAGCAAAACAGCAAGGACTGTGAGAGCAAGGATGGAGTGAAAGTGTACAGAAGAAGCCATAGCTGATGAAGAACCGGTCAGTTTGGTTAGATATGGAGGCAGAGTTGTTATTATGGAATTAATGAAGTATGAGAGTTTCAAAGGGAAGGTTCTTCCAGATATTGAAAGACGTGAGAGTGGTTGACGCGGTTCGGTTTTGGCAGTTGAGAATTTTTAAGTGCGTTTATACGTTTCGTGCCCACCCGGCAAATCAGAGGAGGAATACTCCCGGTTCACCGCGTCAACGCCCGCGTCTTTATTTTTTTATGCTTTTCCCAATAGTCTGTTTTGGACTCTGTCCGAGATTCCGAGTCTCCCTTGCATAAAAAATTGAATGGGATAAACAAAAAAAAAAGGTAGTATTAAACAATTAAGATTTTTTTGTTAACACCTAAATAACTTAGGATTTGCGACACTAATCTTTATCTCCAGAAAATCCACTTCAAAAGATTTGAAAATGTAAATTCAAGTTATTTGAACAATCCGATCAGTTTCTACGGTCATTTATAAACAAGAATTCACTCATAACTTATTGATTTTACGTGTCTCGGCCCTCAGGATCCCAACGCACCTTCGGGAGAACCACATTGATTGGTCAAATACTACTTAATTATATGTATGAAGCTAATCCCACATTATTGCATGAGGCAAGACAATAATGACTGTGCAATTACTCGAGCTAGCCCACAACTAGATGATTATTGTTTAATTTTCTCAAATTGACCTAGACCTCAAAACCTACAACATGGGAAGCTTTTAAGTAACCAAAGTAGTCCGACTTCAATTACCCCCGTTTATCAAGATTTTTTTTGTTATACTAGTCTCCATTGTTATGATGTACACGGGGCGGATATAGGAATGATGTCATGCTCCGGACCTACCGGACACGTCAACAACGCGCCATACAGTATGAATAGTCAACTGCAGTCTAACACATCCATACTATAAAAGGCGTCTTGAATATCATTCACACATAATAGATTCATAAACAAACATAATGTAAAATATCCATTTAAAGCAGCGGAAGTAATATAACAAGTGTTCAAGCCACACTTGGCAAACTTGGGCATACAAGCCCCAAAATAATTATTCACAAAGTAATATCCATGAGCATTATTCATAATATAATGTTTTTAAAACAGGAACGGAAGAAGCACGAACCAAATCTTCTTCCCTCGATCTTCCCGAAGCAACGGCGGTGGTAGCCAACCTTCAAGTTCTACCTGAAACTGTGAGGTGGTCTCCCCCGTGAAGGGGAGGTCTGTACTTTGAAGCATTTGAAAAGTACAATGACAACTACACTATATATAATCAATGTTTCAATTCCTAAGACCCTCAATCTAGGGTGATATTATATTATAGGTCGTAACCCTTAGTTACCCTATTCAAATATATACTTACTTTATATATAAAGTCAAGTAGTCGGCCCGTGGGCCCATGTTCGTTTTGAAACGTCTATCCCTATTCCCCCGTAACTGCTAGTCACGATTGTCATAAAACCTTCAGTAAGTTATTTCACTGTCATAGGGCATTACCCTATTACTTTAATTTAACATCATGGAGCCTTGCTCAATTATATTATTATACCGTGCTAGGGCCTCGCTCTTAGTCGCCCTACATCGTACTAGAGCCTCGCTCTTAATTGCTCTACATTGTGCTAGAGCCTCGCTCTTAGTCAATCTACATTGTGCTAGAGTTTTGCTCCTAGTCAATCTACATTGTGCTAGAGCCTCGCTCCTAGTCAAGTTACATTATACTAGAGCCTCGCTCTTAGTCACCATTACGCCACGCTAGAGCCTCGCTATTAGTCAAGTTATTCGATTCCGCGCGATCCTAAGCCAACTCTATGCCTAGAATCAATTTACCTTGAGTAGCCTTTAAGGCCTACTCCTAGTATGCTTAGAGCTTATACAATTCAACCTTAAGGTATCTCTTAAGACCACTTAAAGTATGACTTCTCACCATCCGAAGCATTTGGATTAATTCTATCATTTTTCATACTAACATTCCGACTAGTATTTCAATACCAATCGCTTAACCTTAGAGCAACCAAGTTCTCAATTCATAGTCATTTGTTCATTAAAATTAAATTTCTCATCCAAATATAATTTAACTTCAATATAAAAATATCCCTTTTATCCTTTCATGATTTCTTTACATGAAGTAAAAGTATATTTTATCACAATAATTCATGGTTGATACAACCATCATGCCATCATATATATATAACACATAATCATACACAATTTAATCATAAATTTGTATATCATGCATCCTTTACTCATAGACAATAACATTTTCATTTAAGCATTATTAATCATTAATAATCCATGAAAATCACATTTAACTATCTTAGGTAATCGTATGAAATTAACCCAACAATTATAAGCAATATAGTCAATCATCCTCACCTTATGAAGTGCTACAATAATTGCCTTTGTTAAGTCCTCCGATCAATCCCCGTTCTAAACCGATTAGAAATGAAAAACTGGACTGCAGCGTGAAAGGCGGGCGGTGTTCGTCGTCTACAGATTTCGGGCAGCTCCTTTTGAGTGGCGGTTTCCGGCGATTTTGACTCCTATTCGATTCACTGACTCTTCTAAGTTAATTACCACAACTTTATATCAATATTCTACACTTTTAGACGTGTAGAACTTCATGTATGATTTACTATATGACTTTGTAAAAATCATACAACATAGTACTAGTTAAAGAGTACACTTGAGTTCTCACCTCAAACTTAGCTCCTTTCCTCTTGGGATTTCTTCCTCCAAGTTTTCTCCAACAATGGTGTTTATGAGAACTTTTTCCCTGAGCTTCTTACTCCTATGGTTGGCCGAGAGAGTGCAAGAGATAGAGGAAAGATGCCTTCCCAATCAACACAAAATAATTGTGTGAGATAGGACATAGGCATGACTGCATGAGCTTTTGTCTCAAAGGAGACTTCCCACCCCCGCGTACCTAGCTATCATTCTTGTCCCCCTCCTCACTTATTTGAGGTCAAATAGGTTGTAGAATACCCCAAATGGGTATAGGAAGTCCCTCCCAATTATTCCTGCTATTTTTGGCAGGTTGGGTCAAAATAGTACTCGGGTTGTCCAAACATCTTTATCAACTTTAATTGGCATTTTATTGGGCTTCTATAATTATTACGATGACCCAACTAAATATTTGGCAGCTCATTCACATTATTATGGGCCTGATAAATAATTTAATTAATCACACATTAATTAAATATACCAACCTGTTACACAATTTTATTCGCTAGGAAATTCAAATATATACGGAGTATCAAATTTCGAATTCAAGTACATCCGGGTGTGGTGTCAAAAATGAAGAGTGGGGTGGGCTATGCAGAAAAAAAAATTGTTACTGCACATAAAATGTTTAGCTTAAAGATGTTATCGAGCCGAGCTTTTTTCGAACTATTCGAGTTCGAGATCGATTTCGAATTTAATTTAACGACTCGAGTTTAACGAGCTTTGAACCCAACAAGGGCTAGATTTTGAGTTCGAATAGTTATTCAAGCCAAGTTTTAGTATAGTGATATTTGGTTCGATCCGGACGCGAGCCTGCCGACAACTCATAAATTATATGAATAATTTTGTATAATGATTAGTTTAAATTAATTCACTCAAGAGGGAGGAAACAAACAAAATTTCATTAATGGAAATATGAAATTATAACAAAGTGCCAGAAGTCACTCTGACATACAAGAGTGTGTGTTGTGAACCTGAAGTTACCACACGAGAGTGTTTGTGTTTATAAGCAAGGCCTGAAGCCCTTACTTGTGGACGCATATTTAAAGACGTGAGGTCCTAAAGTACTAAAGCGGACAATATCCACAAGCTGTTTATACCAAAGCGGACAATATGTTATTACAGGCCTAAGTAAATTTTAAGAAATTTACTCAAGTGAATAGTTCGAGACAAGTATTTAAGTAGTGTTCTTAAACAAATCTAATTATTTGATAATTTTTATGTTACTTCAAGAGTAGCATTAACTAATTGTTAGACTCTCTGTATGCATCCTTAGATGCATGATTTGTATTATTTCTATGAAAGCTAAGTAAGAGAGGATTATATAATGCCCGAAGCAAGTATATACTTGTGGCATAGAGCCCGGCATATATTACCTTTTGATAGAGTCATACACATTAGAAATTTAATCCTATTGTAAGGATAAAAAGTAATGGAAGCACAACTTATATTTATAAACAAGTTGTGCACATAAATAATAATGATAAAATCTCAAGCATTGAGTGTAAAAGCTCAAAGAAGCTACTCAAACACTGCTAAGTAGTAATTTGAAAAGTGATATCATATTTATTGGGTGATAGTTTGAGACCATACTAACGCAGTGTATATTGTGCTTCCATAATATCTGCCTGTAGCAGAATTCTCCTCATACTATATTATATATACGTACTTGAATAATTTAAGGTTGTGTACATCCGAGGCAAAGTTCAAGGAGAAAATCAATTGGGAGCAGTTTGCCAATCAACACAGTCACACTTGCATATTAGTAATATTTTATTTTAAGTTTGCATAATAAATATGCAGTTAGCATACAAGTATAATGTAATAGCAACACTTAACATTTATGTGTTATGTATAAAATATGAATGCTTCCGCAAATATGATAATTCATAAAGTTATTATCATTAACTCATTTTTGAATTAAAGTATTTTTGGGATTAAAAAAAATGAAAAGTTAGTCTGCGCTTTGGTGCTCCAGCACTGCGGGTAGCGCTCCCTGCCTGATCCTTCCGGGCCGGGTAGGGGGTGTTACACATACAATAAAAAAACAGAAATAAAATAAAATAAAATAAAATAAAATAAAATTCAAGGATTTAACAGTTGAAGTTCTTAGAGGGAATACGACTGTAAATGCCTTTCTCCTTCATTGTTCACCATTTTTTCATGAAGGGACGGTGTATATAGAAATGGTTAAGTTGTAAATATTAACTTAAAATGTAATTTAAAAAAAAAATTATGTGCACTTACTTGCACAAAAGTTCTATGATTGAGTTTGTAACCTTCTCATAGTTGATGCCTATATACATAGCACATGCCCTTGTTAAAGATAGTTTTGGTAGGGAACCTAAAAGACGTTTGCATCATTCTTGATTGTAAACTTGTCACCCATGCATTTATCAACTAG